GCCTGTAATCACCAATTCGCTTTGCCTGCGCAATAACCCAACCGAACCTCACCCATGTCAGCACAATTAATCCTTCAAGCTAAACTGCCAATTCGCACCGCCAGAGATATTTTCCACAACTCTCAAATCATTTACTCTCCAACAGACGCACGCCTCGACCGATCCAATCACATATTATTCGACGAAACAACGCGAATTGCGTTCCGCTCAGCGCAACCTCAATTCATTACTCGCTCAACTCATCTCGCTGAACGACCGATGGACCGCATTATGCAACGATAGGAAACGCAGCTTGGCTGACCGAACTCAAGAATGCGATGCCTATCAATTAATGGCACGTGATCCAAATGGCCTACTACATATGATACACGATATCAAAATGTTGCTCGATGCTATTCACAACTATCTCGACGATGTCAAGGACATATTACCACCAACAACCACCAACTCCACTCCTACGACGCCGTCACGTACGCAGACCGTTACGAGAGTACCTTAAATACAAGTGAAATCATTCGATGGTAATAGCCTTTTCTGGCCTGCATTTCGCGACAGTTTCCAATCAGCCGTCGAACAGACTGATCTGTCACCCGTTGAATAACTTAAGTATTTACAATCCTGTTTAACTGGAGCCACTTCACGATCCATCGAAGGTTATGCATTAACTAATGACAATTACGCCGTTGTTTGGAAATTTCTGGAAGAAAAATACGGCGACCCAACGCAGCTGAAACGCACATTTTATGCCGAACTGGAATCACTCAACGACAACAACCGTGACTTCTATCACACTTATGAAACAATTCAACGCATCCTTCGTCAGCTGGACGTCCTCCATGACGACCTCGAAAATCCGTATCTTTAATGGACAATTGAAAGAAATCTACCTCGTTTGATAGTTGAAGATCTGAATTGCGAAAAACAGAAATATTCAACGTGGTCTATGAACCACGCTTGCAATCACTTACGCTCCTATCGTAAAAGCAAAACAAAGTGCTTTACCTCTTCTCAACACCAATTCCAACTCACCTATCGCAGCAAAGCCACAATATCGCCGTTCATCTTCTATGTCTCAACAAACAGCAACAAATACTCCATACACGTCATCAGCATTCGCTGTATCAAAACATAACACCAGTATCAACAGCTCAGCTTCTCGCAATCATTTCTCAACCAATGCGTCAGCGCACCTCGTCTATACCATCTTGCGCATTCTGTTCCGACAAACACTGGTCAGATTCATGCAACAAATACACATCTCTATCCGATCGAAAAGCAAGAGCAGCACAACTACGAATTTGCTTCAAATGTCTTC